CCTCTTACTAACATGCCAAGGACTAAGGTATATAACGCCGAGCCTCAAACCAAGAACAAAATAATAATTCTCAACCTTTTTATCTCATACATCGATCAAATAATAATTCACAATTTAATAATAATATAACTCCACAATGGCACAAGTTCCCAAATAATATAACAATTCGATCACAATATCTCAACTCTTAAAAAAAATACTAATAACCCAAATATAATCAAATCTCAACCCAAAAATAATACTCTGCATTAACAACCCTAAAACCTCGATAAAACAATACCCCTATAACAATAACATTAAAAATCCCAGAAAAAATAGAACAATCATTCAATACAACAATAATAACAAGACAATTAAATCAGATCATATCATATCATAAAATTATATACATCAATCATAGCTATAAACTCAAGCATATAAATATCAAATCATACAATAATATAAAGCAATAATTATACAAATAATTCCAAAGTAAATCCGTGTAATTACACATAATAAATAATACAATCAAACATCTCCAAATTGATAAAGTGTGATTACCTTGTAGATCAAACTACTTGATCGCACAACCAAACTTCGTGAACTAAATTAACAGTACTAGGTTAGATCCCGTGCCACGCACGATAATTTTCAATAATTCTAATCATAAATTATTCAAACAAATATAAAAATTATCATATGTTGATTTGATATTTGCATTTCATTGTTTAAGCATGAAACTTCTATTACACAATAAAAAAATATATAATCTTGTTGTAATACATAGTACATAATAAAGTATGTATTTTCTATTAAAAAAAATATAGTCCATGTCACAAATTATGTTAAGAATATTATTTTTTATTTTTCTATGTAAGTTTATAATTATTAATAAGATTTTTTTAAAGATACATCAAATCTTTTTAATGTACATAATTATTACTTTTTATAAATAAGAGATTTGTTTCTTAAATAGATTAAAAAAAAACTGAGGACAACACCTGGATATGACACGTGTCATTGCTGGTGTGTCTTTTAGTATACATTATTGATTAGGAAAATAAGTGTTTGGAAGAATATGGGCAAATAAAAGGAAACAAAAAGCATAATTGTAAGTCATATATGTACACATATATATATATGAATAAGGCTACAATATTGGGGTTTCGTATATGAACTTTACGCACAATAAAAGGGAACGACAGCTATCTTTTTTTTTTTAAATAAAATAATAATGTAGGGTTAAAGGATATAAATACTATCAAATAAGATAAGAAAATAAAATTTAAAGTATACAACTCTAATTTTATAATTTGTAAAATCGTAAAATATACGGGTTTTACAATCTACCCTCCTTAAAACAAGTTTCGTCCCGAAACTTAAAGTAGAAAAATTTAGGGTATTACAATAGCAATGATACCTTGATTGACAGAACAAAAGATATACAAGATGCGTTAGACGCCCCAATCCCTCAAAGCTGTATAGACAGTCGTAACCTCTTAAATGCAGCTCAAGAGGAAGCATTTACATGTATAATGAAACATGTCGTGGATGGAAAATCAGGAGCCATTTTTGTAGATGGTCCGGGTGGAATTGGCAAGACATTCTTATACAATGCACTATATGCAGAGATTCGTATTATGAATAAAATTGTTTTGCCGACAGCTACTTCTGGAATAGCCGCAGCAAACATTCCCTCTGGTAGAACAGCACACTCATGATTCAAAATAACAGTGGACAGTGATTGCTCTTTATCTTGCAGCGTTTCTAAGCAAAGCAGTCTAGCAGCATTGATAAAAGAAATATCTCTAATAATATGGGATGAGGCTCAATGGCAAACAAGCAAAATTTAGAGTCTCTGGACTTACTGTTACAAGATATTTATGATAATATTATGATACTTGGTGGAAAGGTAATTGTATTTGGAGGGGATTTTCGATAAGTATTTCCTATTGTTCCTAATAAGTCCCAAAAAGAAGCGGTTAAAGCAAGTGTTGTAAGTTCTTATATATGGAATCATTTACAAAGATTCAGATTGACTGAGAACCTAAGAGCCAGAGAAGATCCTGCATTCAGCTAATTTTTGCTTGCACACGGGAATGGAGAATTGCAGGCCATGGAAAATGATTTTGTTCAACTGCCTACATAGATTATACAGACATTTCAGCCAGAAGAAGATCCAATATTAGAGTTTCTAGAATCATCTTTTCCAGAATTGAGTTTAGGCAATTTGGATCCCAAAATCTTTTCAAGGCGAGCTGTTCTTACACCTATAAATGATGTTGTTAATTCTATAAATTCGTTCATGATTGATAGGTTCCCAGGGGAAGCTAGAGTATATATAAGCTACGACACTATTTTGGATGACACTGGCAACGTATACCCTACAGAGTTTCTGAACAAGCTGTGCCCAGGTGGAATAAGCCCTCATAATCTTGTGTTGAAAAAGAATTGTCCTATAATATTGCTTAGAAACTTGTTGCCTTCTTCCAGTCTGTGTAATGGAACACGTCTCATCTAAAAGAGGTTTTTCTCTAATCTTATCGAGTGTGTGATTGCTGTTAGACAATATCAAGATGAACATGTGTTTATACCTTGAATTAGACTCAGGCCATCAAGTTCTCTGAAGTACCCTTTTCAATTTCAGAGAAATCAATTCCCTATTAAGTTAAGTTTTGCAATGACCATTAACAAGTCTTAAGGGCAGACATTAGATCAAGTGTTGGTGTATCTTCCTTGTTCATGCTTTTCACACGGTCAATTATATGTTTCTCTTTCACGTGCACGAACAACAAACATAGTCAAGGTCCTATCAGTTGCTCCTACTATACATCACACAGAGAATTCTGTTAAGAATGTGGTTTCATATACTGTCTTAAAGCTTGCAGGAGTAATCTAGGCAAGTACACACTAACTGGAATTACAAAAACCAGCTTTTCATTACAGGTTGTGTTGGTTAATATGAGAAATCTGCTTATACAATGAATTTTTGTTTTATTTATCTAATTTTTCTATATTTAGATTACACAAAGAAAGTTTAGTGAATCAAGAGTCATACCTTAGATCTTTACATGTTAGAGTCGCTAGAAATAGTTCAACTTTCATCCATAAGTTTATAATTATAACTATTTTAAAAAGGCTGTGAGTATATATATTAGGCTACTAAAATACATTATGCACACTTCAATTCGAAATGTACAATATAAACTGTTACAAGCAATAAATTAGTATACTGCTTTTAACAAAAGAAAAACAAAATACATTATTTACATAATTATATAAACATCATCATATCAGATCACAGTACAATCATAGCTATGCTAGAAAATTTAGGGTGGCTTTAATTATGATAACATATCATAGACCTTTCCCTTATAATATAAAATATGTACCACAAAAAAAAAGTATTTTTATAATTCAGACTTCTTATATAAAATAAAAAAATCATATATTATTTCATTATTTATATTTGAAATAGAGCTATCTTAGAGCTATGAAATGCATACTATATAGCTAGAGGCATGGAACGTACAGTATAAAATTACAATACAAATTATCTAATCAGAAGTATGGGTGCCCAGTATAAACAGTGACAATAGGATTGTAAATTGCTATTAATTATTTTTTAAAGCTGTCTCCAGAAAAATCCAGGGTTATTGCGGTCAATTTATCTATGCTTTTAGAGTCCTTTTTTTTGCTAAGTAACATAAAAGCATTTGTTACCAAACCATCCGTTTTTTTTACAGAAGAAACAAGTAATCTCTGCATCAAAATCTCAGCTGTGGAAGGTATGGTTTGCCTTTTCTGCAGTAATTACTCACATTAGTCTTTTGAATTCTTGTTTTTGTTGTCTTCTTTCAAAAATATCCTGTGACTTGTTTGTATAATTTAGTTAAATGTAGAGTAATGTATTAAAGTGTACATTTTATTATAAAGCTGCTACTAACTGAAATATTGTTTGAATATTTATGAGCACAGAACACCAAGACAGAAGCCAGAGTATCTATATTTGAATCAGTTAAATGCATCAAGCAAATCTTATAAAGTCAGAGTAGTAGTTGCTGAAAAGGGAAGAGATATACTATCTTCCAAAAAAACTGTCAGATTCCAAACTTTGCTACTGAAAGATGATAAGGTATCTATTTAATGCTTTAGAAGTTTACATCCAGCTATTAGATTACATTTGGTATAATAAGGTAGTGTTAGAGACTGCACTGTATGTATGAACAGCTAAAATGACACAACCAACAAATCTGTATTTTAAAAATTCACATGTAAATGCGAATTTGCTCACGATTACTAATTACAAAATTTCTACTAAAATTATAACTATTTATATTAAGCAGTAGGCAATTAGTCATTAAACTGATTTACAGTTTGGAGTTACTTAAAAATCTGAGATATAATAACTTATAGTATAATGTTACTTCTGATACAATTGTTCTTAAAAAAAAGATATACTTGGCTTCAATTATAATTATATAATTTAATTATAATTTGCACTAAGATAGAGCTATAATTATATCTATCGTAATAATAGATTATAAAATAAGATCACTTTACAATAGGCTTAGAAAATTTGTATTATTATACTGCTCTAAGAACTTTACTATAGTTACATTTATTGAATAAGCCTCTGAATATTTCTAAGCTAATTACATTAATGATAACATTGCTCAAAACAAATGCATTTTCTTTAGCGAAAAATTATAGTAACCAAAGGCATATTATGTGAGATACAGATCAACACAACTTTAAAGTTAATTATACTTGGCTATTTCAGTATCAAAAAGTATATTTTATGATATAAATGTAAAACCTTAACACTTAAATTATACTAGTTACACTTAATTTACTTATATGCTTCCCAGGTTAATAGGATGCGCGATACTTTATTTGGAGATCAAATTCAGGCTTTCGAAGAAGCATTGCAGTATCTGATGGAATACGACATTTCTGCTGCACCAATAAAGTATATAGATGAATAATGGAGAACTGACCTTGATCAATTCCCATATCAAATGACTTTTGGCAGTAGAACTGTAATTCAGCCAGTTCATCCAGAGCTCGGGCCAGTTTTGCCTAACTACCAGGCAATTGCGGCTATACCTCGTGTAGTAGATCCCGATGAAAGATACGGTATAGAGATATTATTTAACAGATTCAAATCTATTCTTACTAATACAAATACCGACTAGCATTTCTTAATTGGCAAATGTTTTAGGTGTGGTATTGTATGCAGAAGAAGAGCCAAGGAAAGTCGAAGGCAAAAATGGAGGACGAGAAAGCTTAGTGCGAGAAATTATTATCACTGACCAAAGGTTACTTTTAATAAAACTCTTTCTCAAAATGAACTAGAATATAGATCAAATACAGATTCCATACTAAAGGCACTAACAATATATATTTCATGAAACAGCTCTGATCAACCGCTCACCATCTCTCTCTGGAATGACCTCACAGAACCAAAGTACTTCGACAGATTAGGAAATTGGGCTGAGACATTTCAAGTTATAGGATTCAGGGCATTTAAACCCTATACTCGCCGTGGTAAGGCATCAGTTCATCTCGCTAACTAACTTTAGCAGTTCATTACTATGAGAATATAACCACTTGCTATTTTCATTAGGATTTTCAATGAACTCAAGTATGTCCACTCGAATAATATACGAACCTAAAGGAGATCGTGCCCGTGTGCTATGTGACTGGTAATATCCTATGCACAAATATAAGCACAAAAAGAAAACACAGAAATCTTTATTATTTAGTAACTTCATTTATGGCTAAACTTGTAAAAGGGTAAACTTGTTCAACCAAACAGTAGTAGACAGACAAGCTTGGGTATTAGATGTCAAATACCCAAGTCTAAACAAAAAAATTGTGTCGATTGCTAAACTAAAGCAAAGGAAGGTAAAAGAACACAACTACTGCAGTGATTCAAGATATTAATAGTTCAGTGAAAAATTATAAACGCAAAATATAACTAACATTCCATAAATTATAATGTCTATATAGCCAAGCAACACCTAGCAAGAAGAAATTTTGTGGATTGAAGTAACTATCCAAAATGCTGAATTAGAGAAAGTCCCAATGCCTATACAGGCTGTTCGGACTGCTCAAAGCGCACTAACCTCCCCTTGCAGAAATGCTACTCTTGCTCTGTTTGTTCAGTCAAAGAAAGTATCTGCACAGAAAGGTATTAAATAAGTTAAATTATGTAACTATCTCTATTCAATAACATTATACTAAATAATTGATAATTGATGTTTGTATCAGAGCAACATTTAAGTTCAAAGCTAGCGATGACACAAGAAGTATGGCATTCACCACATTCAATGATGATACAGAAAGGTTGTTCAAGAAAACATCAGCGGAAATCTATGATATAAAGGAAAAGGTAAACTCAATACAATACAGCTGAATAATACATATACTAACTAGAACAAATTACTTTAAAAATGTAATTAGTCAAATTAAATTTCATAATGAAATTCTGCTACACATAATGACTTACAACAATTGTCTCCAATGAAACATATATCGACATAAGTTAAATAACTCTTACATTATAATTCATTGCAAAGAATAAAAGTTCTCTAAAACTGAAAATGAAAATCAAAGGTAAATGTTCGGCAAAGTTTTGGACATAGCAGTGTAAATGTGACAACCTTTACATGAATTTATTCTCATTAAAAACTGACTTTTACAATAGACATTACAGTTGACAATAGATAATAGACAAAAAATACAAAGTGCATAAAAAAAAGAGGTTTTATTTATATGTATATTTTGCTTCTTACATGTTAGAATAGATTTTGATGTTAGCCATCACATTACATTGAATGTAGGGTGATTACGACGAATTCAAGGCTATTCAAGACATAATAAGCACTACACCGTTTTATATTAAGGTAAGGCCAACTCTGCACTTGGCTCAGAACAATGTGCTTGAGTGGGATCTAAAAACTATAGAGCTGAAAGAAGATCCTAACACACAAGAGGCAGCAAATGAAATACAAGGTGAAAATGAAACACACCCTACTAAGATCAGCATTAAAATGCAGAATTCAGAGCTAATCATTCCTACTCCAAACCTGAAGACTACTGCAAAGAAGCGTTCACAGCAAGAAACTTTCACTGAAACACTTGAATCACCTCAGCAAAACTCAGGATCGTTGAAACAGGAAAAATCCTTAGGAAAAAGGCCTATGGAAACTGAAATTCAGCAGACACCTCACAACTATTGCTATTAGAAGCTAGAGCAAAGAAGAAGCTTTGCTTTGGCGGAATGTCTCCACAAAAGGACACTAAAGGTCAAGACCATGGTGAAACCCTCAAAAAGGATTATTCTAGAGATGTTCTTAAGACTGCTGAACCTGATCAGAGGGAGACCAAGCTTATTGCTGTGAAGACTGAAAAATTCAAAAAATCCTCCACTGAATCCACTACTTATGGAAATTAGTACCTGAAGACTGAAGTAGAAGGAATATACATAGTAAAGTAATGAAGCTTCCAGAATTGGCTACTAAAAGAAGTTCAAGAGAAATGAAGTACCAAATATCAGCTAATTAAGGTGCACTACCTGCACACCTTTTGAATATTAAATCTTTTTCTAAATTCAAAGTATCTCGGCGGCTATTGGCATTTGCTTTTGCTAGAATTAAGTATAGCTAGACATGTTGATGTAAGAAGTAGCAGAATTTGCTTTTTCTAAATGAATTACTGAGGAATTGCTGTTTTTTGTTTATTTTAGATTTTGAAAAGACAAAGAATACTATCAAAACTTAGGAAAAATGCAAAATAAGCCATACATCATAACAAATACACCATTACATTTATCTAGCCATTCTATATCTGCACCAAAATCAGCTAAGATTGTGACAAAAATACAAGCTACAGCAAAGCCACAACTAACAAGAAATACATTCACAAACAATAGACATTACAACATTGTAATAGATTCTAAAACCCAAACTAGCATAATTTGACAACATCAATTACAAAACTTAGCAGCAATTAGATTGCAGTGCCTAAACTGGTCCAAGCATCAATTCAAGCAAAATAGGACAACCTTGTCGATAAACAAATAACGCTCCAACTCCATCAACAATAGCTTGATCTTCATAGAATAAATTAACACCATTCTTCAATTCACTAACAGTGATTAAATCATTCTCCTTTCCCAAATGAAGTTCAACAGGCCACTGTTTCATTCTATGACGAAGCAAAACTAGACTACAAGGTTCCATTCCATGCAAATGTGCCCTAGCAAACAGCACAGGAACTGCCTGAATAAAGTATAGGGTGTTAAAAATTTTTAAGCCTATATACAATCAACATAAATCATAGTAAATGGAGAACTCACAATTATTCCTTGGTGAATGCAACGACGCCCAAATACATATTAAACGATGGATCAGGACATTCTTCTTGCATTTGAGTTAGATATGAAAGGAATGGTGTCCTTCGAACAAGTGTATTATTCTGATAGCGGGTTCAGAATTATTAGAAAGCTAATATATTCAGCAAGGTCAAGTGATCGGAATGCCTGGGTGAAGGCCGCTTCCGAACAGTAATATTAATGTATAATTAATATTACAGCTTAATCTTGACTGAACCCTTCGGGTCACACCCTAGAAAATATACGAACCGACTCGACGAATTAATTCGTCGCCTGAGTATTAAATATTTAGACGTCGGAAATTCTAGCTTGGAGCGTCGAAACCGAACGTCGCAAGTCGAGTCAAAATAATAAAAGACGAGACACGAAAGTAATAAATCAACAAGACCAAAATACCCCTAGCATCGGAATGCCCCGAGCAAACCGAGTGCTAGGGGCATTTGGTATATCATGGTGGCTAGCATGCGCACCAAGCCGAGCCTAGGCTAGTGCACCAATGCTAGCATAGTGTGCTAGCAGCGCTGGGCCAACGCGCGTAAGGTGCAGGGCACTCAGCAAGCAGCCTGCATCATTGATGCGCGGCTTGCCGGTCAAGTGCGCAAGCAGCCCGCACAAGCTGTGCTGGGCGTGTTGGCCAGCAGCGCCAAGTAGCCCGCACGCTTGTGCTGGGCCTGTTGGCAGCCGCACATGGCAGCCCACCTTGGGGTGCCTAGGTGCCCAAGTGTGGTGCCATGTGGAGCATTGTGAGGGGAGGCTTGAGGTATGAGGTGGCCGGTTTTTGGAGAGGGAGTGGGAAGCAAGTTTGGTCCCCCCCCTCCAAATGGTGCTCACATAACCTCTCTCATGAGCTTGCCACTTGTTGATTTATTACTAGTTTGATTATTTATTTTATTTTAGCTTTAAAATAAAATGAAAAAAAATCAAATTCTCCCACATTGATGGGAGAGCTTTTTCACTCTCAAGTTTTCCCTATAAATACCCAAGTTGGGGTATTGGGAAAATCGCTTGAGTGTGAGTTGAAAAAGGCATCACCATTGTGAAAACCTTTGAACTTATTTAATCGCTCCGGTTTTGGTCGGACCTTGCTAACTCCAAGGTAGCGGACTTAAAAAGTCGGTGTTTGTCCTTTGTGGGTGGATACCGTTGGAGGCTCTCGTGTGAGCGGAGCTAAAGCTTTCAAGCCCATTAGGTCGGGCGAAGCACGCGTCAAAGGTAAATTACGATTCTACCCTTTTATGTTCATTTGTTATGCTTTATGGTTTGATTAATTGAGAGTGGTTCTTTGGGTCGGGGTCGTTTCCGCGGTAATTTGGACTTACCAAACCCCAGCAGCGGTATCGGAGCCACGCTCGTTTATTTTTAAAATCATTATATTTTTCAAGGTGATTTTTATGGCTTAATTTTTCTGGTTTAAGTTGCTAATTAGATTAGTAGCTCGTATTATCTATTTTAATATCGTATTTAAGCTACCTTCAGCCCCGAATTTTGACTCAAAAATAGTGAATTTTGGGTGGAAAATGTGTTCTGGAAATGGTTTGTTCTTCCAGGGAGCGGTTTTTAGCCAAAAAACGACCAGAAATGCTATTTTCAAGGGTTCTTTCATTTTTACGAAAAATTTTATGTCTTTCTAACCTTGAAAATTAATTGCATATTCATGGTGGTTATGTAATTGGTTCAATACATATTTTATATGCAATTTTAAACCTCTTTAGGCATGTTTACTTTGTAGTAATTTGTGCTTGAATGCTTGGTTTTATTTTTCACATAATTGCAAACTAATTGCATTAAGTGTGAAATTGTTGTTCTTTGAGGCTTCCAAGTATTAAAGACTCAATCTTTAATTATGTTAAGTGATTGAAACTTTATATTACTAAATTCTATGAATTTTTGTTAAACTTTATTGATTTAATCATTTTTTAGTTGATTGGAATCATAAAGTTTGAAACTTTGTGATAGAAAAATTGTTTATCTTTGTGGGGAATAATTTCAAGCGTTAAACCCCTATCTTGAACCCCATTGTGATCATACACTAAAGTACGGTGGCGTCCAAAAGGAAAGAAGATAGTGCAAAAGAGTCGCCAACAAGTTTTAGGAACTTGTAAACCGTTCACAGGGTGAAGGTTACACCCCTTAACGATCCAAGAGATCGTCAACTCCATAAGGTCTAGAACCAAATAAGGGTTCGGGGATGAAGGTACAAATCCAACCTAAAAGAGATTGAACCTGCCCTAAGAATAGGCCTCTACTTTATTCTGATCGTATTCATGTGCGCTTTCTGACTAACATACGATCAATAGGATTAACCCTAAACCTGTTTAGTTATGTTGGTTGAATATTAATGCACAAATAAATCTATTATTGGCGATCACTTGAATTATAATCAAATTAACCCTAACAAGATTATTAATTATCTTATTAAGCGTGATTACAAGTACAAATTCCCTTTAAACATGCATAAAAAGACGTGATCAAGGAATAAATAAATATAATGTATCAAGCAACATAATGAATAATAATAAATATCATGACAATAAAATTATAATAGTCATAATAATTAATAATATCATATATAAAATAATCATCATCAAAATAATAATAATAATAATAATAATAATAATAATAATAATAATAATAATAATAATAATAATAATAATAATAATGTTCAAAATCATCATGAATTATAACAATTATAATCATAATCATGTTCATGTTAATATTAAAGCATAATAATAATAGCAAGATCCTAGGTATGATACTTACAAGATTAATAACAAACCCTAGCATCTCACTAAGCAATAAAAATCAAATCTTTAACCCTAACATGATACTAACAATCATAAATATTAGGAAGAACATAAGAAGCATCGTACTTTTAATCATACTTGATATTAAAATTACCCTAGACATGATACTAGGAATATCATAATAACAATTTAAACATGATTTTTACATCATAATATCAATTAAAACCATTAAAGCACTTACTTTGATGCCTCGTACCTTTTTCTAATAACAAAATACACACGTTAGTAACTTCAAGGAAAATAATAAATAAATAATTAAATTAAATAAGTGAAATAGAGATTTGGGACCAAACCCTCAGAAATTAAACCTTTCACGTCTAGGGCGAAGGCAACTTCGAATATGGCTAGGTGTTTCTAGATCTAATAATGCGGGATTTTGTATATAAAAAGTAAGTTTAGAAAAAAAAAGAAAGAGATGAATGAATTGATTAAAGAAAATTTGATGAGAATTGGTGAATGAAAGAATAAGAATTGAAGAGAATGAGAAAGAATTGAAAACTGATTGTAGGTGAATATAATTGAAAAGCTGGTTGTTGATGAATGAAAACGGAGTTTTTAATACGTTATTTATAGAGAAGATCAGCCAAAAAGATAAAATTAACAAAACAGAGTCTGGCGCACGCAAAACGAGATTGGCGCCAGGCATTGGCCATTGGCGCCAGGCGCCAACGTCAGCGTTAGGCACCAATCCTGTTTTTGACGCGTTTTCTAAAATCAGATAAATTTTGCCGTACAGGAGGATAAAATCGTATATTTTCCTCAAAAATGCTCTTTGATTTTAATTAAAACTCTAAAAAGTCAGCAAAAGTCAATTTATCAATGCTAATTGAATTAGGAATGAGAAGAACCTTCTAGAAGAATCTAGAAGACTAAAACTATTCCTAATTGCATTAGGAATGATAAATCATATTAGGCCCTCCCCTAGATCATTGGGCCGCATATAAGGCTCAAACCGGGCCCAGTTTAGTAAATTGGTCATAACTTCCTCAATATTCATCGGAATTGGGCTTATAATATATCGTTGGAAAGCTCTTGTCAAGCCCCATCCAACTATACTACTATTGGACCCATACCATGGACCAACCAAACTGGATTGACTGTTTTCTTAAAATATGTTTTCAAAAACAGAGAGAAGAAAAAAGAAATTAAAACTATCCGCAACACTAGACTCTCCACACTTTCGCTTCATTCTATTATGTTTCGACGTGATAGGTACTCATCACCGGGTTTGGTTTTGGGGAGACACAAATGGGTGTCTACAGAAGCCCCCACTTTGACTGAGTTTGGAGAAACGCAAGTTTCGAAAACGAAAGTCAAAGTATCGATAGGGAGGGAGAATGATTCAGAACATTCTGCGATCCTAAACCACTCTTGTAACGCCGATACCTGCAAACTAGCGTTAGTTAAACAGATAAAAGAGTTAAGAAACGCGTATCTTGCACCGTCGAGCACACGTCTCTGAAAGTAACCGATTGTCTGCCGCTTTACTGTTGTTTTGATGACCTCCTGCAAGCTAGAGAATGCCATCCTGCTTGAAAACTGCAACGCC